TTACTCCACTTCCAGACAAGCCCTTGGAAGAAAGGCTTCTCTTTAAGACTTTTAGCGACACCTTGATCTTTGAGCTCAGTTTGCAAACTTGCAAAAATTAAGTTACTATATGAAGTAATGAAATAAAGCAACAGAAGACCCAGCACATGTTTCTTTTGCTGTCCCTGGTTCTGGGGAGCAACCTTCGCCAGGAGCTGCAGGTAGCAATACCTTAAACAACTGCAGAAGCCAAGCCCAGGGAAGATCCCCAGCCCAAGCTCTAAAGCTAAACAGAACAAAACTTGATCAATGTATTTTTTTAAAGAAAACTGGAGACCAAATTGCCCCTGCTTCTACCTTTCTCCAGCCTCTTTCACAGGACTGTCAATTATTGCTAGTACATCCCAGGTAACACAGAGTAAAAGAGCAATCACACAGTAATTAGCAGCAGGCAAGAGGCATTTGTCTCAAGCAATCCCTCAAACCACTTCACCCTTCTAACGTATTCATTTTCTAAACTAACATAAAGCAAATTTTAAGGTTCACAAAGAAGCAGTTAAAAACACTTACAAGTAATAAGCTCTTACAGCAACAAAGCCAGGGCATGTTTGATTAATATTTTTTAAAAGAGCATTTTTCTGACTTGAAATACCTGAGGGAGCTTTGCAAGGGGAGGAGCTGGGAAGAGAAAGCAACTCTATCACTCGTAGCATCCTACCTGCCTCTCTCCTTACACAGGCTTGGCTACAGCAGCGCGCACAGGTGTGCGACACCCACGCAGAGGGGCTGCTCCTGCTCCTCGGGTGTCGTGGAGGGGGGCACACAGCCAGAAGCAAGACAAGGTGGGAGGTACAGGGGCAGAGCAGCAGTACTCTGCACTTCAGAGGCTTAAAAGTCAACTGCAAACACCATCAAAGTACCCAGCCCCACAGCAAGGCTCAGTTCCCAGCTGTGATTTTCCTGGCTGCTGGATTCAGCCAGGGACATGAAGTCAACCGTGTCAGGGGACACGGTTACAGGACATGCATCCCCTTACCACGGTTAAGGCATTTTCATCTCTCAGCATCAACAAGACAAAGATTTGCTTTTATACATCCCAGCCTCCAAAGGTCTTAACCCCACCACAGCACCAGTTTGCTGCTCCACACAATGCCCAGGCTCCTAGTCCTGAGCAAGTCACTTGCCATCTCTGCTCCAGCTTAACAGAAAGACTAACTCTGGTTTAGCTACTTCATAGACATTTCTCTGAGGCTGTGTCACATCCAGGAACAAGAGAAAGAGGTACTCACCACCCGGGAGACATAGCTGTCAGCCCTAGCAGGGCTGTGGCTGCTTCCTCCTGCCTAATTTAGGGATCCAGGTGCAGAAGGATGCTCAGGGAAGAGCTCTTAGCAGCAGACGACTCCAATCCAGATCATTAGCACAAGCAAGAAACCACCCCTCATCCATATCCCGCTTTAGCACGGATGTATCAGACCTATCAGAAGAACGATGAGGGGTTTGCAGAGCACTTTGAACACAGGTCACCAAATGTTGCCCAAGCAGGGGCAGGCATACACTGTGCACCAGAGCCCAGCCTGCCAAAAACAGATGAAGACACCTCGCAGGGCATGAAACTCCCTGTCAGGGATCCTGGTTATTCGGTCCCTTCTCCATTGCAAGCTGAAACATATTTAGAGAGCAACCATTTGGTAACAGGGTCTCCCACACACTTTGTTATGCAGTGCAGCTGCAATTTGCAATTCAGTCTATTGCATTAAAATGTGGTGCAGCCCTAGCGGAAAGAAATAAATATGTCACTTGTCACAGTTCCTCCTGTTATCCTTAGAGGAGAGCGAGCTCAGGCTAACATTCATAGAGGGGAGCGTAGGGCTTGTCAGAAAGCGAACGGCAGCGTGGCCATAAATGCAGCATCCTGCTCTTGCCCCAGCAAAACCAGTGGGGAGGTCCCATCCCAGCCGCTTCTCCTAGTCCAAGCCCTGCTTCCCAAAACCCTCAGCAGAAGAGGGTTTACTTGGGGGATGTTTCTCTGCCTGTGGATGAACAGCCTGAGCGAGCAGAGGGAAAACATAAACTCGAGACGGCTGCCAGAATTGTGCTGGAGGCTGGAAGTGAAAAGCCATTCACCTGCCACCGCCTGAGTCAGAGCCAACAGAAGCCCTCGCACCTCGCTGCTGCTCCTGCAGGGTTTATTAGGAGTGAATAAAACTATATAAAAATCAGCCATTCAAAGGGAACAGATAAGAGAGATGTTTCGACTCTGCCTGTATCCCCAGTACAATCCTCAAAGCAGATTCTCACCTTCCTATGGACCTCCGTTAGAGCTGCAGCCGTTCACTGCTAATTGATTCAATATGCATTTGGACTAGGATTTTTAATTAATTTTATTACAGAAAAATTAATGCACTGCTTCCCCACAGATGCATTAGGATACCAACATGAGCGGTAGGAAACCATCCTGCAGTGCAGTTTTCCTTGTGACTGCTTGCAGGGAGCTAACCCCACACCGACGGTGGGGCTTCCCCCATCCCATCCCTTCCCCCCCCCCCCCCC